AGTGATGTGAGTCATGTCAGAGATGTATGGATGCAGTCCTCCAAGCTCATGATGGAGTCAGACACAATCTTCATTCTGTCTCCACTGCAGCAGGACTTTATATTCTATACTGGACATTATTTCTGTTCAGTGATGACACTTTAGTCTGAGCAGAGTCAGACCGCACTGTCCTCATCAAATCAGTCAACATCAACACATGATCAGATTTATTGAGCTCAAATCAGCAAAATCTAGAGGCCTTCACCTTTCATAGAGACACTTCTGATGCCAAATCACCAGCTAGAAGTCCTGTTATTATTTGTTGTTTTTACTTGGATAGGCCACAAGACTTTTGTCAGGTAGTGTAGTGTCTCAGGAATACACTCATGTCATCAAACAGCAAAATATTTGGAAAGATCCCTCAAAACACAACTAAATGTGCATTTATCATCACACCAGAGTTATTTCATAGTAAAACAGCCCCATTAAATATTTGAATAATAATATAATATCTTTTAATAATAATATCTTAATTTCCATAAACATATACTGCATTTAAAATAATATAAATACAGAAAGGCGTGTTATCATTAACCCTTGTGAGGTGTTTATATTTACGTCACTCAGCCACTGTTTATTAAAACACTCAACAGATGTTTACTTCACCCTAATTCCCAATATAATCAATCCACACCCAAGTCACCCAGGACCTCCAGTTTCCCAAACACCACTGAAGTAATAAAATATTAAAGCAGAATATGAAAAGACTAATACAGATTAATCATAATGAGATACTGCTATGGTGACAACTTGTGACGTGCTCCCTGTATTGTTTACCACACTACTGTGAATATCCATACTGAAATCGCCTGCAAGACTTCAAAACAACATTGGCACTATTTAATTGACTGTCAATAATGTTGCACATTGATACTAAGTGCTTGGATGCTAATTTGATTTCCCTATTTAGAATATAATCAATGAAACAGAGTATAAAATCAGTGTAATGAAGTATATAAGGCGACTCTCTCTGCATTCAAGGTAAACAGGGTGTGATAGTGACGTCACAAGTTGTCAATGAACGAATGTGCGAATATAAAACCAACTGCAGCCCAATCCGAACACCATACAAGGGCTAAAGGCATAGATATATGTGAATATACTAATTCAATTTGTAAATGTATACAAAATTACTCTTTTATTTAACTTTTTAATTAAAAAAAAATCTCTGGGAGTACAATAATCGCGTCGGGAGCAAGATTTTAGGAGCTGTAAGAAGTGTGATTTTCCATTACATAACCACCACAACATGTTTTAAATGGCTTTATTTTCTTTTATATAAACTGTTAAAGAGATATATTGCCTCTCAGCTTTAATTGATATTGATATTTGTGTTCAGTGTAAAGTAAATAAATCATTCACGTCATGTAAACCCGTCATTATTTATCAGCTATTTAACCCAAATATGAAATTACAGAACGAAACATTACACACAGCTGTATACTTATTTAACCAATGTCAGGCTCACGGTCGTGATGCTGAGCAGCAGTGGTCGTGTATACTGTATGAACTCACCGTCATGTCTGTCGTGTGGGACTCCTCCGTCTGGCAGATGCCGCGGTGCTGCTCGAGGCTTTGCTCTGCTGATTTCTCGATGAGCTCGATTCTCTACATTAAAGTTTCTGATCAGGCGTGTTACTTTTGAACCCATGTTTTAAAACAGAGGACACCCCTCTTCTTCTTTTAGCTCTACCGTGAGGCACTCAGCGCTCATTACTGCCGCCGACTGGTAAGTCTAAAAGGGATACAGCTGCGGCTGTACTGTATGTACTGTAGCATCACTTGTTATGACACTGTACAATGATTCATATCTTCACATTACTGTGAGGGGTCCGTTTAGCTTCGGGGTAGGAGACTATGATTATAAAATGCAATTTAATGGGTAATTTAATGAATACACTTAATAATACTAATAATACTACTAATAATAAATAACTAATAAAACAGTTTTTATTCTGGGTTGAATTGCTGCGTCACATACTGTACACTTTAAAAGAGTGGATTTAGTCGAAAATAAGAAAAAAAAACAGGCAAAGTTTATAAAGAGAGTGTAAAATACTGTACTCTTTATTTCCAAATGGGAAATGAACATAACAGCATGGCTTAAAACAGGTTTTAGGGTGATAAAGTGACACAACATTGTTAAACCGAAATGAAATGATGGTGAGGGGGTTAAAGACATTCTGATGAGCCCCTATACAGACCAACAAGGAGGAATGGCTCCAAATCCACACAGTCCCACACAGATTTAACTTAGATTAAATAGAATACATTAAAACAAAGACATGGTAAAAGCGTCTCTCTGCATGTGGATCGGGGCCAGTTGTTGTGGTAAACAGCGAGGAAAATGGATTGAATTAAAATTAAAACGAGGCTGTGTCCGAAACCGAAGGCAGCTGCTGTGCTTTCTCACTCCTGACTTAACAAACAGCATCTCTGCATGAAGGAAACTGCTTTCAGATCAGCTCCCAAGGCACCATAATGTCCCGTCTAGACATCAGCAACAAACTCAAGAGCGTTTGACTTAACATCAGATATTTAATGTCAGTGACAGAGAAAACTCTGAAATACGAAAAGGAAGAATTGTGGCAGACAGATCTAGATGAAGAACTCTGCATATAAACATCATCAAGTCAGAATGTTGGAAACTGCTAACGATTGACTAGCATAGCAGGAGAAAACTGAACTTTCGAAGGCGTTTCTTTATCTGCAGTGCTTTTGAAAACGCTGTCGGCTGGGTTTAGGGAAGAGGGTGATCAGGTCAATCGGTGCAACAGCAGAGCGAATGGCACTTACGAGACAAATGTGAAATTGTTGTTTATAATGTGCGGCAGTGAAGGTTTTGTTTTTGTTTTCCCGCTATGAGAGCGCAGCTGGACTCACGTGTGGATTACAGTGCACACAACGTGCGACAGAAATACATGTCAGAGGAGCATTGTTCACCCGAGAGCTTTTCTCATCTGGAAATGGTGAAATAGGCTTTGCTGCTCGTCTCCTTTTACTAAAGGCGCAGCTCCAGTTGGTGTTGATTGTCGTGTCTCTACAGATTCGGTAAGTGAGCGATCAGTGCTCTTTGTTTGTTTATTCAGAGGCAGAGTTAGTTGGTATCGAACTCTTTCAGTGTTTAAAGACGGACCTCAGTCAAATGATTTCTAAGTTACTACAGTTTACCATACGTTAACATCACTGCAATATTATGGACTGAACGATCCGCTGTAAATGCTGCTCTCCGAGTGTAAACACCGTTGTGGAGGATTTTCACCGCTTTTTGTGACTGGATTAACCCACACAGCTTTCTGACGCTGCCTGCCGAGTGCATCTAAGTTACAGAGAAATGCGGAGATGTTTTCTCTCATTCGCCGTGCGGTATCAAACATTGCATGAACAATACACGCGTTCAGCAGCTCCTCCAATCAAATATCTTGTTTGTCACGAAGGCCATGAATGAAATGTCCACCATTTATTAATTTGGCAAATAATTCATTTACTGATGTCGATGAACACACAGTCACTGCCGTTCAACTCTGTGTCTGTGGGCCCTATCATACACCCGGTGCAGTGTGGCGCAAGGCGTGGTGCAGTAGTCTTTTGGTAGTTTCAGCTTGGCGCAAGAGTGGTTTTGAGGCGTTGCGCTGCGCTGTTTAAATAGCAAATGCATTAGCGCTCATATGTGCGCCCATAGGCGTTCTGCTCTAAAAAGGGAGGTGTTCTGAGGCGCACTGCTGGCGCGTTGCTATTTTGAGGAACTATAATAGATTTTTCATTAGACCAAAACTAACCCGGTCTAAACTCCGGCGAAAAAATAAGAATAGATAAAGGATATAAATATAAAGGATTAAAATATTACAAAACATATTATTTTCTAGCCTACAGAAATATGAAAAGTCACTGCCTTCATGTCTTCTTCATCTCGGGAGGCTTTTTCTGTTCATTCATAACAATCTGCTTTTGCTTAATGTTATTATTATTAACAGTATTAATTATTTTATCCATATTTATATTTGTTTTATTAAAAACAAGCTTAGATTTGCCCACCTGCAGGTTTTAGACCATATGGGGCACAGCATGTGTTTTAGGATATAACTCAGGTTTTTGAGCACATTTTGTTTTTATTGTTCATTTATTCGTTTGCTGGAAATTAGAACTGAATTTAGAAATAATTTTGACACGAATATTTGCGCTTAACAAACTAAATTAATTATTTATAGACTAATTGATGTCTGTGCGTAAAGGTTTCCCTATCCAAGAGCGAAAGTGAAAGTAGATCCAATATCTCTCATTCTCACGCAGTAGATGCTCTGTTTAACAGTTTTCTGTTATAAAACTGTGAACTGTTTGCTTGTGAAATGCTCATTTTTTCAACTTAGACTTACTTTGCGTCCTGTAAATAGTGAATGCGCTCTTGGCGCGACGCAGCTGACTCTTATAGGGAATAGGAGATGAGACTCTGATTGGTTTATTCTCAAAACACACCTATAACTCATTAAGAAAATAAACTCAACCCTTTTAGACCATGTGCCACGGTGCAAAGCGGATTTTCCTGTCCGTAAATTAGCAAATATGGATTCTGACACGCCCTGAAAGCGTTTGCGCCCTGCGTCAAGTGTTTGTTTTGCCTCTGTGAAAATCAGCGCGTGCCCAAACCAACACTCCCATTTTTATGCAAATTTTTATGCACCTTTCCTCATCCGACACTCCCACCTAAACAGAGCTGGACACGCCCACTTTCCTGACTTTTTCCAAACGGTGTGAAAACACCCTGCTGAAACTGGGGGGTTTCGTGGCTCTTTAAGAGTTCTTCAAATGTCAGTACCAGAACAAGTCCTGGTCAGATTTCAAGCAAATGCAGCCAATTAAATCTAAAGTGAAAGTCAACCACTGGAAGATCATATATATATATATATATATATATGTGTGTGTGTGTATGTATATATATACACATTTATGGCAATTTATTTTTTACCTACGGCTACAAGTTGAGCGAAAAGTAACTGGGCATTCTCAATAGGTATTGGGCTATATAAAACTATTTAAAGGTCAATATTACTAGCCGCTTTAAGATATTTGATTTTCCAATTGGCAACAGAACAAACCACTGTAGTCCAATAACTTGCCTAATTAACTTAGTCATGCCTTTAAATGTCTTGAATACTTGCATCTTAAAGAATATCTAGTCAAATATTAAGTACTGTCATCATGGCAAAATAAATGAGTGATTTTAAGTTAGTTATTAAAGCAACACTTGGTCCTTAAAAAAGAATTCAAATCTCACAGGAGTAACTTTAAATAAAGATGTGAAAACACTCATTTGACATGATGTTCATGACGTTGCTGTGTGTTATACTGTGAAAGCACCTGCTCTATGTGAATGCAGCATTGTTCAGGTTTGGGACGCAGCTCTAGCATGTGGAAACTGAAAGCTTTTCTAATCTGATGGTGCTTTTCCTCCTGATAAGCCGGTCAGCTGGAAAACTAAACAAGACGGGTTTCCTCTGTGGAGATGAGGCGGCGTATGGCAGTCTTTAACATTGGTCTGGAAATACAAAAGCGTAATGTACATCATGTGTAAAATATTTCTCTGGTTACATTATAGATGAACATCTAGAACTTTGGAGAGGACATCAGACATCATCAAATCAAATGAGTATCTTACTGAACACAAATAAATTAAAGAAACACAAAGAATCTGCAAACAAAACAGCTTTGGGTAGAGTTCTGGCCTTGTTTCTAGGATAAATGTCTAGAAATGCCTTTGCTTTATTTTCAGGAATAATAAGTCATAATGGGGTAATGACAATTGTGTTGGCTTTGAAATAAAACTATTCAACTTCCCCCATTGGCAGATTATTTCTGTTGTTTTAGGGAAAAACTCACTTGATTTTGCCTCATTATTTCTGAAGACACTATATTTTATGCTCGTCTGGAAAATGCTAGAAAATTAAGACATTTTAGATATTTGGACTAAAAGCAAGACCAAAACTCAGAGTAAAGCAGCATTATTGCGGTGTTTGCCTTGCAGATTGCATTATCCAATCAGCAGAGGACAGACCCAATCTCAAACACTACTAGCAGACACGGAGACTGGTTTTGTGCATCGGCGAACACCCAAAACCACCAGACGTCTGTGTTTGACGCCATCGTAAAAACATGAGCGAGACAAAACATGAACCAAAGCCAAGAGGAAATCAACCATAATCAAGCACGGATTGTATTTACACTGAATGCAGGCATCTTTACTCTGCTCTGGACAGAAGTATGGTTACATCCTTCCCAAATTTACCCACAATTCCTGCTGTTCACCTCCTGGAGAAAGTGTGAAAGTGTGTGCAAACGCTTGATAGTTCAGTCACAGGAGCTCAGGAGGGTCCGGTTCTGGCCCCGGGGATGGGGAGATCAGAGTAGGTCCAGCAGGATGGCTTCTAGAGGTTGTCTCCGGGCTGATACTGAGGTTCGGTGGCGGTGAAGTAATCCTCCAGGAAGGCCTGCAGGTACTCGAAGGTGGGCCGCTCCTCTGCGTCCTTCTTCCAGCACTGCACCATCAGCTCATGCAGAGAGCTGGGGCAGTCCTGAGGACACTGCATGCGGTAGCCGCGCTCCACCTGCTCCAGCACCTCTCTGTTATTCATGCCTGAAGAGGACAGCAGAAAACCCACGAGTGCATGTGTTAATCTCCGCAGACAGAGAACAACACATATTAGGCTGTTCATATTCAGAGATATTATAAAGATTAGCAGTGTTTCCAGTATTTACTATATTAACTTGAGGATGCAGCCCTCTTGTGAACCGCTGGACTAACTGCTGTGTTGTATGGAGACCTTTGACCGGCTCTGCCATCCCTGAACGGTTTGGCCACAACTCCTCTGCTTTTGTCGGTTTTGCCTCACTTTTTGCATGTTAGCCCACAAGGTTTCTATTAGGTTAAGTTCTGGGCACTGGGCTGGCCACTAATCAGCACAGTTTGACCCCAAGCCTAAAGGATTTGGAGCTTCAACACTTTTCCAGCTGTAAATGAGCCAACAAACATTAATAATCTCCCTGCTGATGAGAACTCTTGATGCACATTGCACAAGAAGCTCCCACTGGGCCAGGTCCAACAACAAATCCAAGATAATAATCCAGATTAATCACCTACTAGGCCAGGGGTGTCCAAAGTCAGTCCTGGAGGGCTGCTGTCCTGCTGAGTTTAGCTCCAACTTGCTTCAACACACCTGCCCGGACGTTTCTAGTATATCTAGTAAGAGCTTGTTTGATTAGGGTTGGAGCTGAACTCTGCTGGACACCGGCCCTCCAGGATTGAGTTTGGACACTCGTGCGTTCAGTTTATTCCTATGGTATAAATTACATACTTGAGCGATTTTAACAGTGGTTACAAACTACAGGGCATTAAGAGCATGCCAAACAAACTTTAATGCATAGAAACAAGCATTTCAGATGTTTTACAATGTGGTCAGCCAACCACACCTCACCTGATCTCTCATAACAAAATCACATGACTGTTTAAATATGCACACCACAATTCATTCATTCATTCATTCATTTTCTTGTTGGCTTAGTACCTTTATTAATCTGGGGTCGCCACAGCGGAATGAACCGCCAACTTATCCAGTAATTTTTCACGCAGCGGATGCCCTTCCAGCTGCAACCCATCTCTGGGAAACATCCACACACACATTCACACACACACACTCATACACTACGGACAATTTAGCCTACCCAATTCACCTGTACTGCATGTGTTTGGACTGTGGGGGAAACCGGAGCACCCGGAGGAAACCCACACGAACACAGAGAGAACATGCAAACTCCACACAGAAACACCAACTGAGGGTTTCTCTCAGTTTTTGCACCTAAGAGCTGTTTGTTTTGTAAAGAGTAGAGCTCCTGGAACAGAACTGCACTTATGAAGCCAGAAGATTCATCATCATCATCATCATCATCATCATCATCATCATGAGGGACATGAGCACATTTAAACAACATGGAGAAACGCCTGCAAACATCTGTGGATGATTCAACACTGCGTCGACACAATGGCATTTCACATCCGCCCTCATTCCAGACCAGACTGCTAAATTTGTGTGGAATTTGTAGAAGTCTACAGTTTTCATCAATGCAGTTTCATTTGAAGCTTCTGAATGATATTTAAAAGGATGCTATTATGATGTAGAATAGGTCTCTGACGTCTCTAGAGAGTGTGTGTGTGAAGATTCAGCCCAAAACAACACACAGATAATCTTTTATATCTCTCTGAAACGGACTCGTTCAGGCTTTGATCCTGACTGGTGTTTTGGTGACTGTCGCTTTAAATGCAAATGAGATTGAGCTCTTTTCAGAAGAGGGCGGAGCTACAGACACCTTTGTGTCAGCATAGTGGCAGATTCAAAAACAAGACTGACGTCCTATGCTAATGAGGGAGAGATGGTGACTAGTGGGCGGGGTCATCACAGCAGAATGAACCACCAACTATTCCAGCATGTTTTACACAGCGGATGCCCTTCCAGCTGCAACCCAGTACTGGGAAACACCCATACACACTTATTCGCAAGCACACTCATACACTACGGCCAGTGTAGTTGATCAGTTCCCCTATAGCGCATGTGTTTGGCCTGTAATCGGAGCACCCGGAGGAAACCCACGCCAACACAAGGAGAACATGCAAACTCCATGCAGAAATGCCAACTGACCCAGCCGAGACTCAAACCAGTGACCTTCTTGCTGTGAGGCGACAGTGCTACCCACTGAGCCACCCTGCACAATACATCCCTATCAACAAACGAATAGAATCCAAACGCACCTGGATAGGGAACTCTGCCCTTCGTGACCAGCTCTGTTAGCAGAATTCCAAAAGACCAGACATCAGATTTAATGGTGAACTTCCCGTACAGCGCCGCCTCTGGAGCCGTCCACTTAATAGGGAATTTAGCCCCTGAAACACACACATGGGAGAAGATGAAGATGGAGACGGCTCGAGGGAGAGTGAATGAGGACATAAGCATCAGTGGTGAGCTGTTCATACGCGTCTCCTACCCTGTCGGGCGGTGTATTCATTGTCTTCAATGAGTCTGGCCAGGCCGAAGTCAGCAATCTTACACACCAGGCTGTCACCAACCAGGATGTTAGCGGAGCGCAGGTCTCTGTGGATGTAGTTCATCCGCTCGATGTAGGCCATGCCTCCAGCCACCTGAGGAGGACACAAACGCAGCGTCATACAGTAGCAGACCTGCAGAACCACCACAGCTTATTGTCATCCGCTTACAGAACTGATCTAAAGTGCTTCAGCAGTGTGTCTACTCCTGCAAACACACTGAAGTGTACTGCATCTAATCTGATCAGGGCTGCACCACATACTGGAAAACCTCTGCTGCAATATACACTGGGATATGAGTATAATTAGCTCAATTAGGAAAGATGTCATTAATCTAGAACGGCTGGGATGATTAAGCCTTTCCTATGCAGCGCATCTGCATAAATTATAATAAATTACTAGCAGAAAATAAATAAAGAAACAGCGTCTGACAGAAATTGAGCAATCAACTGTAAAATAACCTGGCTATCATTGTAGAAATAATACACAAAACAATAATATCTATATTTTATCATCTTTTATAAATGTTTTCCTGTGATGTGACTATTGCATATACATGAGAATATGGAGTAGGGGGCGGGGCTTTCTTTTTGCGCATCACTCCCTCATCGCAAACTCACACTCAGAGGCGTGGTTAAGAATATTTATGGCTAAAGCTGTCAACCTGATGACAACAGAGGAGGAGGAGCAGCACTTCATGATCTACTTCCACCTGAATCTGAATATTAAGCAGGGGGCGGGGCTTTCTTTTTGTGCATCATTCCCTCATAGCAAACTAACGGTAAGAGGGGTGTGGCTATGAATATTTATGGCAAAAGCTGTCAATCTGACATCAGAGGAGGAGCAGCACTTTATGATCTACTTCCAACTGAAACGGAATATTGAGTAGGGGGCGGGATTTCTTTTAGCGCATCATTCTCTTATAGCAAAGTAGTATCTAAAGGGGCGTGGTTAAGAATATTTATAATTAAAGCTGTCAAACTGACGTCAACAGAGAAGGAGCAGCACTCCATGATCTACCTGCACCTGAATCTGAATATTGAGTAGGGGGCGGGGCTTTCTTTTTGTGCATCATTCCCTCATAACAAACTAAAGGTAAGAGGTTCGTGGCTAAGAATATTTATGGCAAAAACTATCAAACTGTTGTCAACTGAGAAGGAGCAGCACTCCGTGATCTACTTCCAACTGAAACTGAATATTAAACAGGGGGCGTGGCTTTCTTTTGTGCATTATTCCTTCATAGAAAACTAGTTTCTAGAGGGGCGTGGCTAAAAATAAGTATATCAAAAGCTGTCAAACTGACGTCAACAGAGGAGGAGCAGCTCTCCATGATCTACCTCCAACTGAAACTGAATATTGAGTAGGGGGCGGGGGTTTCTTTTTGCGCATCATTCACTTAGAGCAAACTAGCATCTAGAGGGGCGTGGCTAAGAAAATTTATGGCAAAAGCTGTCATACCGACATCAACAGAGGAGGAGCAGCACTCCATGATCTACTTCCAACTGAATTTGAATATTAAATAGGGGGCGTGGCTTTCTTTTGTGCATTATTCCTTCATAGAAGACTAGTGTCCAGAGGGGCGTGGCTTAGAATTTTTATGGCAAAAGCTGTCAAACTGACGTCAACAGAGGAAGAGCAGCAGCACTCCATGATCTACCTCCAACTGAAACTGAATATTGAGTAGGGGGCGGGGCTCTTTTATGCTCATCATTTCCTCATAGTAAACTAACGTTGAGAGGGGTGTGGCTAAGAATATTGTGCCTGAAGAGTCAAACTGACATCATGAGAGAAGCACCGCCCCTCCAAACACAGAAACAAATGGTCAGACGGTGATTGAAGATTACCAAAACAAACTTTTTTTTTCAGCAGGATGAAGTGTTCAGCTAAAGAATATGCGCTAGCAACAATAAACACTGTACATTCTGATTTCACACGCTCTTTAACCGGGCTCGTTTACACAATGGAGCAGTACCTGGGCCGCCATGTCCACCAGGTTGGGCAGTTTCAGCGCTCGTCCCTCTCCGTCCTTCAAGAAATCTAGGAGACTGCCTGAAACACGCCACATTCACATGTTAGCTTTACAGATTTACCTTCACTGCAGTAACAGCACGCTCATGCCTGACTGATGAAGGCTTTCTCCAACATTCCAGATGCCTTTATTAATCAGTGGTTTGAGTTTGCCTCATCTTAACACCGGGAGCAACTGACCTTTGCCCATGTACTCAGTGACGATGTAGATGGGCTCTTCAGACACCACGGCGTACAGCTGCACGAGTTTATCATGCCGCAGTTTCTTCATGATCTGCGCTTCCTCCAGGAAAGACTCAGGAGACATGGTTCCCGGCTTCAGGGTCTTTATGGCAACTTTAGTGTTGCCGTTCCACGTGCCTGAAAGCAAACACACAGACGGTCAGTAAAGCAGCACACACACCACACGCACACACACCACACGCACACACACACACACACGCACACACACACACACACACGTGCGCACACACACACACACACACACACACACACACACACACACACACACACACACACACACACACACACACACACACACACACACACACACACACACACACACACACACACACACACACACACACACACACACACACACACACACACACACACACACACACACACACACACACACACGAAAACGCATTTCTCACTTGGTGTTTATGTCTTGGTTCTAGTCCAAATATCTCAAAACTCTAAAATCAAGCAGCATAATCTACACAAGACACAAATGCTGTCAGAATGAAGTGAGCTTTTCATTAAAATAACTCAAATAAACAGATTTTCCCCTCAAAATAAGATTATTTTGCTTGTTTGTAGGAAAAAGCGGCTTCATTTTTGCTCATTATTTCAGAAAACAAGACAATAATTCATATGTGTGTAGAGAACGCTTCTTGATCTCAGAGTTTTGAGATATGTGGACTGTAGAAACAGGACCAACAGCTGAACGTCATGCCAAAACAAGACTTTCATGCACTAACAGGAGTTGTAAAGCACTGTTAATCATGCAAAACCATTCCGCAATGAAAGCAGCCATCATCACAGTAGTACACGTGTAATATACCCGACTATAGATGAAACTAGCACACATTTAAAGTGTCCTTCATGTTCATTTCTGCAAGTCAATATTCTGCATGCTTTGCCTAAATAGAGCAGTTATAACACTCCATCATCAACTGATCACAATTTAATAAGCAATTTTGTTTAATACGTTTTTCACTTTTCTCTGCTAAGCGTCCCTAAAATGTTTCATCAGCTCTGATTTCAGACTATTATGAATGAAAACAGCAAAACATGAAGGATTTCTTTATTGTTTAATTATATTTAATTATATTTTTTCTAATTTTTTCTCATGTCCAAGTTTGGCCAATAAAGATTTTTTACTTGCCACATCAAAAAAGTGTAGTAAAAATAAAAGCAAGTCTTATATGTTATTATGAATAAACAAGATGTTATTGCCACATAGTTTAAATAATGTCTCAAAACAAGCAAACTCTAGTAGTGTACATACTCCTTTTTACTTAAACATTTAAAAGATTAAAAAAAGAGAAATAAACATGCATTTAATCAAGGAAGATGATTAAAATTTAAAAAAAAATACAATGTGTTTAACAAAAGAAAACCAAGACCTGTTTAATATCATGGAAGACTACAACACAATATTTCAATATTTTAGTAAATTTAAGACTTTGTAAGGCCTGACATTTCTGAAAAATTTTGTAAGTTTTTAAGACACCCTGCTTTAATATATATATATATATATATATATAAACAGTGTAGATAATAATAATAATAACAGCAACACAATAATAATAATACATAAAAACATAATAAATAATAAAAAGTTTAAAAGAATACATAGCATATTGCATTTGGTCTATTTATCTAACTAGCTTTATGGCTATTTATAAATAATGGTGACACTTTATTGTGATGCTCTATTTGAGTATTAGTAGTCTGTCTGCTTAATATCTGCTGATCTGCTCCTTTAACAGACATTTCACTGACTATAAGACACTTCACAAGTAAATGTCAACTGACACTAACCCAAACACCCACCCTGGCATGTAGATGCAATGTTACTTAAACTCAACAAACAGACCATCAACATAAAGTGTGAGCTAAATAAGTGCATTACATCCATGCTGAAACAACACATAGGTTAGATCTAATATTGAATGAAAGTAATTCTGTGAGCACATCTTGTTTATGTGACCTGAATTATTTTGAAGACATCTTAAATACTTCATAACAAAAACAGAGTGCTTTGTTAGTGCTGAACTTTACAGATTACACATCTTACTTGTGATTTGTGGCTGTTTTTCTGCAGGATGTTTGTTAAATCCACTGGAATCTGCTTGCCTTTACATGACACTGATGGTGGATTATCTGATAAACGCTGTCATTTATTGCACGTCACTTTACTCACTGTATGCTGTATTGTTTTCACATATACAGTGGTGTGTAAAAGTATTTGCCCCCTCACTGACTTCTTATAATTGTTCATGTCTTAAGGTTTAAACAACTAAATCCAACCCAGCAGTGTCCTGCAGGCAATCATGATGAGAGGCAGATCCAGCAGTTATTTGGGGAATCTACAGGGCGGTAAGGCTGCGTGTCCACCCGAGTGTTTCTTCACGAGCTGAGTGTTTGTTTTCTGTTGTAGCGCTGCATTAGTACGGTCACTACGCTGTTTATTTTGCCATTACAAGTTAAAAAGCTTCCAAGTTGAGCTAGCCGTCCAATCACAGTGGAGGATTACCACATAATACAACAACTAATCTGCTAAAGCCTTGCAACCTGTAACAGTACAGCGGGGGGGACACTGTGCATCACAGCTACCCTTTACTTGAAGGGGTGTTCATAAGACTGTCAGCTATTTGTACCGGCTCTCACATGGTCACTCACTGAAGCCATGCTGGGCTGAGCCTGGATGGGAGACCGTATGGGAAAGCTAGGTTGCTGCTGGAAGTGGTGTTAGTGAGACCAGCAGGGGGCGCTCAACCTGTAGATCCCAATGCTCTATAATCCTGGACCAGGCCGTATCCTGAGCAGATGCTGTGGTGGTGATGGAGGAGTGGAGAGGATGGGACTCCTGAAAGACCCCAGTGACAGACGGGTGTCCGCATTGATCTTGTCGGCCAGCCTGAACACCAGCAGCCTGCAGCTTCTCCATGATGGACGTCCAGCGTTCTCCAGCCTCCGGCGCCTAGACTGCAGCTCACCACAAGAAGTGTGGCCAGAGGAGAAATGATGGAGCCCAGCTGAGTCTGGCTTCTCTCCAGGTTTTCTCCTTCACTTTGGTCAGTTGGTGAAGTTTGTTCCTCCACTGTCCTGCTTGGTTTGAGTCTTGTGGAGCTGCGCATTGATGGATTTGCTCTTCAGTGTTTGGACTCTCAGCAGTGAAGATTAAACCACACTGAGCTTCTGAACACTGGACTGACACCGCTTCAGTTTTCTAGAACTTCAGTGTTCACGCTGGAGAAATGAAGGTGAACTAAACTGAACTGAATTAAAGTGCTGCCCAAAAGGCCGTGTTGCAAAAACCCTTCGGTGGACACGCAACCCAAGGAGGAAGAGTGAGATCTCCACACAAGTGCACACTTACCTGAAGACAGCTTGATGAATAGAGATGTGGAACAGCTGTCATGAGTCCCAATAAACACTCCAAAACCTCATACTTACACTCTTACCTCCATCAACAACACGACAGCAGCATGGTAAAGAATCACTGAAGCTTGATTTAACAGTTTTATTAATATACTTTGGTCAATAACTGTTTTACACTGTAAATGAGCAGCTTTCCATATTTTGTGATTTATTGTTTTTATTTTCAATGTTTAAATCTGCAATAGTCACACCGGAGGATGAGCAATGCTGTTATGGTCATAATTACCATTTCAGATCAAATGATTTGTGCAAAGTTGAACCTAAATAGAGAAATAGATTTCATTCGGGTGTGTTTTTAAGGCCTGCATGTGACTAATTAAGATTTTGAGTCAATTTAAATGATTTGAAGTTCGTAGCTTTAACAAAGACTAATTGTTTTTACTTATTTATGTATACAGTGAAGACTGAGTTATTTTACATCTGACCGTATGAACTGCATCACTCCACTTTTTTTGGGAGAGTTAAAGAGTTGAGTTGACCACAGTTTATCCTTTTTAATCCAATTCAGCTGATCCTCTCGGCCCGGTTTTTCAAAAGTAATCCACTGGGCTTTTGGATAAGGGATTGGATCAAATCTTGAAAATGGGTTTTTCAAAAGAAAAAACGGATTACCTAATCGGATTAGATCACGTAATCTAATCTTGGTTTTGATCCGGATCAAACCTTTACTTGGGGGTTTTTCAGACCTTTTTTGTAGGATCTGGATCACTTTGATCCAAAAAACCTGGATTATACTGATCTCATCAGAACGGTAGATTTAGTGTGGATTTCATGCCTAAAATGTAATGAAAACTTAAAAAATTTATTAAATAATTTTGTTTTTGGATCTTTCGAGATAGACTATTCATTCATAAAGTTTGAATTGTATTTGTTCATCCGTCAGGCTGTAGTGATTATTGGCTTTAATGTATTCAGCCTTTCAGTATAGGCCTACAGCAAAGTAGAAAGAGTTTGGCCTCATAAAACATTCCCCCAAACAGCTGTCAAAACTGACCAAAAACAATACACTTTATTCTGTCACTAATTGATATATATATTCATCACAATGGAAAATATTTTTGTTTTTAGAATATTTATTAGTGATGATAGCAATGATAACAGGATAACAAAAAAAATGCAAAGAATGGCCATCACTGATTTTTTAAATCACCTTCAACAATTGCAAAAAGAGACTGAAAGAGCAGAAGCACAGCTTCATCTGGTAGAGGAACAGCTGACTCTGACCAAACTGCAGCAAACCAAGACCAGACTTGAGATCTGCCTCCTAAAGGCTGCGCTCAGACAAGCTGCTCTCTCCACATCAGATGAGGAAGTCTGAACTGATTGTGCAGTTTTTGACATTAAGTCTTTTTTTATTTACATCTATATTTGTAACGTGTTATAAATATTCTCAGTGTTTGTGTTGTAGGTCTCAGATGAGCGGACTGATGGAAGAGGATGGGGTGGGCTTTTTCTTGTTTTTATTTTTTTATTTTTAAATGTGTGTGTTTTCATTTCAAATAAGAATAAAGTTATATTGACCCCACACTGGCTATTCTACTTGTTGCTCTTTACATGGGCCTATCTATCCATCTACATTGTGATTGAGCACTGGTAATCCAGATTTAGTGATCCTGAAAAGCTCCTATCCGGATCAGATTGATCCAATCCGATGTTGCTTTGAAAAACTGGCTCAAAAAGTAAGCTGGATTACCTGATCACAGATCGCAAAAACAGGATTACTAAATCCGGATCAATTTTATCCGGATTAAAGGTTTTGAAAAACCGGGCCCTGGTCTGAAGGAGACACTTTTAGCTTAGCATCAATCATTGAATCAGATTAGACCGTTAGCATCTCATTCAGAATGTTTAAACAAAAAGCCTGGATGATTTTCCTATTTAAAGCTAGACTCTTTTGTATAAACATCATGCATTAAGAGTGACAGGAAATGAAAAGTTGCCATGTTCAGGGAACTATACTCTCACCCCGGCGTAATAACTCTGCTGCAGTACCACGGCTGCAGCAGGGGCACTCATTGACCCGATAAAAAAAGTGGAGTGCTTCTTTAAATATCATTGATGTTAAAGTATTGATGGAGATCAGTGAATGTAGGAGAGATTTGACAGTCTTACCATACCACACATCAGCAAAACACCCGGCCCCCAGCTTCATGTCCAGCGTCAGAGACTCGCGAGCGATCTCCCAGGAGTCATGGCTGAGTCCCACAGTATCAGGGGTGTAGACCATGCACACACCCGTTAAGTTAAAGCACAAACCATCTGCACTCTCTGGAGGGTACGGGGAGAGGGGTTAAATCAGGACGGCGGGAACATGCACTGAGCGAGAAGGAGGGCGGCCATTTTGCTCTAATGATGTCTGAATATATTTTGCAGATTAATAAGCAAACGCTTTTCTCTTATGACATCTTTTATGACAGCTCTTTTCTAGATTTGACGTATGATGGAAGCTTTAGCGGTTTGATGTTGATAAGCTCAGAGAACTGAATAGCTGGATCTCCGTGAGTGTCATGAGCCAGTCATCATCATTAGCAGAGATACTTTAACTGCATCAAACACTGAAGATTCACTCAAGTGAACTAGCGTCTACATCCAGACATCGGTAAAGTGACTCAGTTTGACCTCCCTCTGTCTCGCTCCAGGCCGGTTGTTAGCAAGCGCAGCGCAGGGCTCGTACCCATCCAAACCTCCCCAAACTGGCCGTTGCCCAAGCGCTTTATGAGCTGCAGGGACTCCCGCGGGATCTCCCACACGTCTTTGGTTTTGACAGACAGGTCGGTGAGCCTTGGCATCCCTTTGTGGCAGGGTACGACCAAGCGGCAGCAAAGCCCCGCTGCCCGCTCTGAGCAAGCACACACACACACACACAGAAAAACACACACAATGCCAGAGAGAGAGAGAGAGATAGAGAGAGAAGCATCAGAGGCACTGGAGGAAGCAGTGAAGAGTTTCAGCAGGACACCCTCAAACAGTAGAGCTGTGGAGGAACAAACTAATCTAGAAACTGAATCAATCCTGAGCTTAGTTTTCAACAGCGGATAGCCCTCAAAGCTAGTTTTTGACAGGAGACGGCGCTCTAGACTAGTCTTTTACAGCAGATGGTGCTCTAGGCTAATTATTACCAGCAGATGGTGCTCTAGGCAAGTGTTTTTTTTACAACAGACGGTGCTCTAGGCTAGTTTTTAAAACAGCAGATTGTGCTTTTTAACAGCAGACGGCGCTCTAGGCTAGTTTTGAACAGCAGACGGCGCTCTAGGCTAGTTTTGAACAGCAGACGGCGCTCTAGGCTAGCTTTGAACAGCAGATGGCGCTCTAGGCTAGTTTTGAACAGCAGATGGTGCTCTAGGCTAATTTTGAACAGCAGATGGCGCTCTAGGCTAGTTTTGAACAGCAGATGGTGCTCTAGGCTAGTTTTGAACAGCAGATGGCGCTCTAGGCTAGTTTTGAACAGCAGATGGTGCTCTAGGCTAGTTTTGAACAGCAGATGGCGCTCTAGGCTAGTTTTGAACAGCAGATGGCGCTCTAGACTAGTTTTTAAAACAGCAGATTGTGTTCTTTAACAGCACATGGCGCTCTAGACCAGTTTTGAACAGCAGATGGCGCTCTAGGCTAGTTTTGAACAGCAGATGGTGCTCTAGGCTAGTTTTTCAAACAACAGTCAGTGCTCTAGGCTAGTTTTTGACAGCAGACAGTGTTGTAGGCTAGTTTAGGCTAATTTTTAAACCGCAGATGGGGCTCTAGACTAATTTTTAACAGCAGACGGTGCACTAGGCTAGTTTTTAACAGCAGATGGTGCTCTAGCCTAGTTTTTTAACAGCAGATGGTGCTCTAGCCTAGTTTTTTAAACAGCAGATGGCACTCTAGGCTAGTTTAGGCTAATTTTTCAACAGCAGATGGCGCTCTAGGCAAGTTTAGGCTAGTTTTTCAACAGCAGATTGCACTCTAGGCTAGTTTTTTAACAGCAGATGGCGCTCTAGGCTAGTTTAGGCTAGTTTTTCAACAGCAGATGGCACTCTAGGCTAGTTTTTTAACAGCATATGGTGCTCTAGGCTAGTTTTGAACAGCAGGTGGTGCTCTAGGCTAGTTTTTTAACAGTAGATGGAGCTCTAGACTAGTTTTGAACAGCAGGTGGTGCTCTAGGCTAGTTTAACAGCAAGTGGTGCTCTAGGCTAGTTATTACCAGCATATGGTGCTCTAGACTAGTTTTGAACAGCAGGTGGTGCTCTAGGCTAGTTTTTTAACAGCAGATGGCGCTCTAGGCTAGTTTTTTTAACAGGGGATGGTGCTCTAAGCTAGTTTTTTATCAGCAAGTGGTGTTTTAGGCTAGTTATTACCAGCAGATGGCGGTCTAGACTAGTTTTGAACAGCAGATGGCGCTCTAGGCTAGATTTTTAACAGCAGATGGCGCTCTATGCTACTTATTACCACCAGATGGCGCTCTAGACTAGTTTTTAACAACAGACGACTCTCTAGGCTAGTTTAGGCTAGTTTTTAAACAGCAGAATGTGCTATTTTTAACAGCAGATGGTGCTCTAGGCTAGTTATTACCAGCAGATGGCGCTCTAAGCTCGTTATTTAACAGCGGATTGTGCTCTAGGCTAGTTTTTAACAGCATGCTAGACTAGTTTTAAAAACAGATGACCTGAAGGTCCTGAAGATCAGAAGGTGTCTAGATTAGTCTTAAGCAGAGTATGGCTGTTTGTAAAGCATACAGTGTCATCTGCTGTTAAAAGCTAAGCTTAGAATCCACTGGAAGCAGGAATGAAGCATTTCAAAGATCTTAGAATCAATTTCTTGAACAATGTTTTCACCACAGATCTATCGAACAATATGTTCAGCTTGTTGGCCAAGTTGCATTTTCATCATCAGTGGGATCTACACTTGTTAAACACTGAATAATGCTGAATTAAATATTCCTCTTCTTAACCAATATTAAAACAACAGCTAAAGCCTGGTAACTAAGTAGTAATAATCTAGTAGCGGTTAGCGTCTGGACTACATCACAGCTCTTGTTTTGATATGTCAGTGATTAACCTTACTGTTAGGCATACCTATTTGACATTCAGCAAAAGGTTAATAATACGTGGTATTTTCCCACAGCGCTGCGGCAGTGTTTACTCTGGACCTTAACGCTGAGATAACGGCACACTTGGCACCAACAGAGGCATCATTTCAGGATTTAGTCACCGAGTACCATCTGCTCTCAACCCAAGCATGCATCCGGCCCATCAGTCATCAACCCCATCAGCTCAAACACAGTGGGGCGATGACATCAGATTCATAGAGCTCTGGGCAGGGGTGTCACATCAGTTTGATTATTTTGGTTGGATGTCGGCGTCTGTTGCAAGCTTGATGACAATGTTTGTTTGGGAAGCACTCTGAATTTGCTTTGGCGACATTAAATGTTCTGATATATTTTTCATATGGCATCATGGGTCGATATCGATATATGCTGGGTTAATAATGGGTGACCGCTAGTATTAATGTAATCAGCTGAAGCTGAACAGACTCTCTAATGCACTGCTTTAACAGGACAAAGCTACTTGGAGGGTTTTCTTTTTCTTTTGAAGGTCATGCCATAAATTCTCAATAGGATTCATCTCAGGACTTTGACTAGGCCACTCCAAAGTCTTTATTTTGCTTTTCTTCAGCCATTCAGAAGGGAACTTGCTGGTGAAAGATAGCTTTTATTGACTAGCAATACAAAAAATTAAATTCAGTGACTTTTATTTTTAAAAAAATCTATCGTAGTATATATATATATACACACATGCATTTTTTTATTATTAAAATATTTCGTTTATTCCTAAGACAGACAAAATAAAGCTCTCTGCTGCTGAAAGTTAAGGTGAGAAAAAGTGCAAAGCTGATGCAACAACACCATGAGCAGCATCTGACACACATTTACAGTAATCCCGGTGAATGCATTAAGTGTGTGTTTGCTCTCTGGGCTCAGTATGAGAGGTCATGGGCACATGTTATCTAAAATCCTTTTGACATTTTCTATATGCATTAACAGTCAATATGTTAACTGGAGCGTGTTGAGATGAGCTTTCCTGACTGACTGGAGCAGTGCCGCCTCCTGTAGGCCGCTGCAAAAGCACTGTATATAAGCATGGGTGCATCTCAATCAGCTCCTCTTTGTACAACATCAGCACTGGGATTGATGAATAACAGTGGAATCCTGCAGAGGAGATACTACACTGAGGATGAAAGGATGTGGTTGATAAATGTGGTCTTGGTGGGCTTCTTTGCAGAATGGTTGCAATTCAGCTATAATGGAGGGTTTTCGAGAATGAACCGGTTTATTAGGGTCATGCCACAGCTTCTCAATCGGATTCAGGTCAGGACTTTGACTAGGCCACTCCAAAGTCTTGTCATTTTGTTTTTCTTCTAGTGAAAGTCACCATTTCCTGTCTTGATTTTTGACTAGCAATTCTAGTCTATTGATAGGTAATATTTAACAAAAATAGTAAATAAATATCTGTATTTATTGATGCATTTTAAAAATGTTTCAGTTTATTTCAAATGTATAATTTATTTTAATATTGAGTTTACCCTGTTAAGACTTGGATATTTACATTTTACCAAAAAAAATCTATTCACAGTGTAAAAATGTTATTTACAGCCTTTAAAACAGGAATATTCATTCAGCAATCTCAATGTGTTCATCAGAATCAATCAGAAAAATATATCAATAAATACAGAACAATAAACGTATAAGAAAAATGCAAATATTCATGGTAATTATTTACAATAATGTTTCCTTGATTAATGTTATAAAATAAATTAACATTGAGCAAAATATTAATATTCTTTGCATGTTAATTGTAATTGTTTTTAATCCATTTAAAGTAAGTTTGATTATAGCAAGATTTCAACCATTAATCAATTTAAATGTTGTCTAGATTGCTCTGTACCTATATCATATAAAAAATATATATATATATGCTTCTATATCAGTTTATGGTTAAATATAATTAAATCACACTTTCTTTTATTAAACGTAAGGTATCTCTCGTGTGACGTTATATTTGTTGAGTTGTTCACATGATTAATGTTAGCTACTTCCTTTAAGGTGATCGGTATCGACATTGACACTCGCTGATTTTCACAGGAGCGTTTCAGGGAGTCAACGCTTCAGATGCCATGTCCCAATTCCCCTACTAATGCCATGTCCTTTCTTATACTGTTGAGTGTGTAACAGAATAAGCAGACTTTGGGAGATACAACACCGTCCTCATTAATGGAACTACTAGAAATCTCCTGTTCAGAAAGCTCACATCACTGAAATATCTTCCAGTAGGCTGGATATTAATTATCATTCACACATCTTTACTAAAGCCTCTCTACTTGGGTTGCAGCCACCATGTTTGTAGTTCGTTTCACATTTTATTCCTGCATTTGTAGTTCTAACTAAATTTACATCCAATGTGTGATGTGTAGTGGCCAATATGAGCGCTAGAGTAAGCAGATCTGCACTTCAAATGTCTACTGACAAATATTTGACGATCTAGATAACTTAGGAATACTCATCACACACTAATTCTGACTTCCAACACCATTTAGGACGGATAGAATGTGAATTGATAGCATGGAAATATTTCTGTCAATGAGGCAGCCCTTAAAATAACCAACTCCCTAATAAGAGCTCTGACTAGTGAACAAGGTAGCTGATTGAGACGCACCCTGTGCCTTCGATACTGCTACTAATTCTGCAGGTGGGAGCTGTAGCTATGAGATATACTGTATTGTGTTGTGTGTGTGTGTGTGTGTGTGTGTGTTACCGGTGTAATGCTGGACCAGCTGCTGAAGGGTCTCGAACTGAGCTCTAGTGGTTATGTAGTAGCCTCCACTGTCCAGTTTGCGGATTTTATAATGTTTTACATGGTCGCCCTTTACATCGTCCCAGTCCCGGATAGACAATGAGAAGGCGCCTGCAACACACACACACACACACACACACACACAGTTGCAGTACAGTCTTTTCACAGTGTGTTCAGTAGGGTTGTCATAAGCATTGACTTGGCTATTAATTAGTATTGAGATTTTTAAAATGTCCAGTTGAGTGAGTTCTGAATCACTGCTGATTGGCCGTTGTGTTCACCTGCTCAACAGAAATGACTGTGATTGGCTGTGAAGGTCATCGGTTCAGTCCTCTTCACCAATTACAAACACAGATCAAGAACACTGGAGCTTATCAAAGCCGCGTCAATCAGCTTAGCGCAGTTAGACTTGAGGACACAGAAGCATCTGCCTTTGTTCTCCACTTTTTCCTTCCAGCAAGAAGGTCGCTGGTTCGAGTCCGGCTGGGTCAGTTGGTGTTTCTGTGTGGAGTTTGTCTAAATAGTGTGCGAGTGTGTGTGTGAATATGAGAGTGTCTGCGAGTTCTTCAAGCTCACCAAAGCATTCATCAGGTTTTCACATGTGGGTGGACGGTCTCTGCTTCCTCAAACTCTTCATGAATCACATTGGGAGGCGAGCTCATATGTACTATACAGAAAGCAGTGTAATGTGCTGGAGTAAGTAGAGGACATCACCTTTAGTGGTTTCACTCTCGCGGATTAGGAATGTGCCACGGGGGTTCCCTGTAGAAAGAAGCTGCCTCTCTGCATCCTTACGACCCAACTTTCCAAAATACCAGCTGAAATACAGAGAGAGAGAGAGAGAGAGAGAGAGAGAGAGAGAGAGAGAGAGAGAGAGAGAGAGAGAGAGAGAGAGAGAGAGAGAGAGAGAGAGATGGTCAATAACTGGACTTCTAGCTGATGATGTGTAAGAGTGTCAGAAGGTGGATTTCTCTGCTGGATCATCTGCTGATCTGCATCCCAATCATCACCAATACTGCAGAAGACCTACTGGAACCAGCATGCACCAAGATTCACACAGAAATCAGTCAAGTTTGGTGAAGGAGACATCATGGTTTGGGGTTCATTCAGTATGGAGAGATCTGCAGAGTGGATGATCAACATCAACAGCCTGAGGTATCAAGACATCTGTGCTGCCCATTACATTACAAACCACAGGAGAGGGACAATTCTCCAGCAGGATAGCGCTCCTGCTCATACTTCAGCCTCCACATCAAAGCTCCTGAAAGCAAAGAGTGCTCCAGGATTGGCCAGCCCAGTCACCAGATAACAACATTATTGAGCATCTTTATGCAATATTACAAAATATGCATAAAAATAAGTTGATGGAAACAGCTAATGAGTGCAATCCGCCAATGCTTTGATAACTTTAGTTCTTCACCATAATGTGAAGCTCCGTATTGTTCGGAGTCTTGTATTGAAAGGTTTTCATCAAGTAAAGTAAAACATCTCCACACTTAGCTGCAGAATAACTGAAATGGCAGAAGCGAGGCACATTTCTCAGTGGAAGAAAAGCTTTAATTACAGCGTTCCTCTGCTGATATCTTAAGTTACACCGTGTGCAAATGATGTCAGTTTTTTCCCCATTTAATTTTCCACAGCCAGACTGATGTCAGTGTCGGACTCACTCTAACATGCTCAGCTTTAGCCAGTGGGAGGTGTTTGATGCTGCAAGTTTGCAGATGTTTTCTCATGTCAACTGTGAAGACCCTCAGATGTTTACAGCTGTGAAAACCATCCCAGGTCCTTAACAAACATCATCTTGCTGTTATGCATCACATTAAAAACACAGTTCATTCAAAACCAGAGGAATGCATCACCATTGCCTCAAGCTTAACTTGTCGTTGAGTTTCTTCACTTTATTTTATTATTATAGAACCAAGAACTGAGATATTGTGATGAATGCGTGACCGCTGTCTACCCTAGTATTTGTTCTTCATATGGACGTCAGTGGTTTGTGTTCAGCAGAATCTTATAAAGGTTTTATGTTGGGGTTGTTAACATTATCGACTTCTTTACCGACCAATATCCGAATTTTCAACCGATATGACTGTGATTGGTCATCTGTTCACCGAGTGTAAACACTGATACAGCGACGCAGGAGCATGCCACTATACCCTTTACTATGATCTTCTTTGTGAAGGTGAATTAAATTAAAGAAAAATAAAAAGTGTTGAATTTTGGTGCATGTTATGGATGTTTATTAACAACAAGTTAAGTAATATCAATTGTTCCAGACCTTTCACCTTCAAAATAAAAAACCTGATTTTGACCTGTTGATGCAGACATTAAGAACCCCTGCTTTATATTAAGGCTAAAGGTTTAATGACGGCAGCTTAAAGACACCTCTGATGAGGAGAATGAAGCCTCATGCATTGCTCTGGTGTGAGTTTCTCACAGACTTGGGTCCAAACTTTGATGCTTCTGTGGGTCTCGTCTATCAAATCTGAGCTTTATTCTGTATTTTCAATTGGATTCGGCTCAGGTGATTGGCTTGGCCATTCTACAGCTTGATTTTCTTTCTCTGAAAGCATCTGAGAGTCTCCTTGGCTGTGTTTTGGATCATTGTCCTGCTGAAATGTCCACCCTGGGTTCCTCTTCATCCTCCTGCTGATGTAGATGTTGGACTGAAGCAGCTGATCTTCAGGGCAGAGGCTTGCTGAAGAACTACTGAGAGATTTCAGCTGCTGTCTGGGACTTCACTGCCCAACTACACCTCCCTTTCTTCATGTGTTCAACACTTTTTCCCTGCTTCATTTCAGTTTACTACACAGAACTTCATTTGTAAACTAATTAGTTTTGTTTTCTTTGCATTCATTTCAAGTCAACAGCACCTATAGAAATATGTTTACAGAAAGAAATGGTGACGTGTTCAGTACTCATTTCCCTCACTGTAGATATTGTACTGGCCATTAGAAAGCTCCACAATCTGAATCAGAGCAATGCATTATAAATCTCTCAGCTTTTTCAGATACACCGTGGACATTCATATCTTCCAGTTCTGCTGATGTAACTGCAAACGTCAGGCTTCAGATAGAATAGTAGCAGATGGGTCAGTTTTAGGGAGGTGTCCTCCTACTTTGCTCCAAACAACAACACAAATGTTGCCTGGTGACCACGTCCATGAGCCGCCCTGTGCTGCAGCAGTGTCTGGATTCATTTAGAGCGGGCCGAGGTTCATCCTGCTGAGGGGTCTATGGGATGTGATCAGAATGACATCACTGTACCCCCCACCCTAAACACAGACACGCTGTTCACACACTTATTTCAGACACACAGATGCGAGACTTACTCTTCAGCCTGGATTGAGTCCACTGGGGCGACATAGTTGCTGGGAATGTAGCCGGTTCCTCCGGTGGTTAGAGATCGGGCGTCCCACCAGTCACCCTCACTGACATGAAGAGAGAGAGAACAGGATAAAATCAGGTCATGCTGACGTTTTTCACACTGGAAGACTTATATCACCCATATACATGTCTATCCATCTGTTCATTCAGTATATTCATTCATTCACCTGTGTGCTTCATTCATCCACATATCATTCATCCACCACCTAACATTTATCCACCTCTTCATCCAGTCATCTCATCTGTATGTTCTTCCATCTACAGTATTTATCTCTCTGGTCATTAATTCAATCATTCATTCAAACATTCATTCATTCATTCATTCATTCATTCATTCATTCAATCATGTATTCATTCATTCGTTTTTTCAATCATGTATTCATTCAATCATGCATTCAATCAATCATTCATTCAATCATGTATTCATTCAATCATGTATTCATTCATTTATTTATTCAATCAATCATTCATTTAATCATGTATTCATTCATTCATTTATTCAATCATTCATTCATTCATTCATTCATTTAATTATGCATTCATTCATTTATTTATTCAATCATGCATTCATTAATTCAATCAATCATTCATTCAATCATGTATTCATTCATTCATTCATCCATTCATTCATTCAATCATGCATTCATTCATTCACTTATTCAATCATGCATTAATTCATTCATCCAATCAATCATTCATTCAATCAATCATTCATTCAATCATGTATTCATTCATTCATTCAATCATGCATTCATTTATTTATTCAATCAATCAATCATTCAATCATGTATTCATTTATTCATTCAATCAATCAATCATTCATTCAATCATGTATTCATTCATTCATTTATTCAATCATGCATTCATTCAATCATGCATTCATTTATTCATTCAATCAATCAATCATTCATTCAATCATGTATTCATTCATTCATTTATTCAATCATGCATTCATCCATTCAATCAATCAATCACTCACTTACTCACTCATTCACATTTATTCAATTATCCATCCATGTTTATGCACTGCGTTCATTCATTCACCTACCAAACATTTATCACACAAGCTTAATAGTCATACCCATCTTCATGTCCCGGTAAACCACATAAACCTGTACACACACACTCTCTCTCGATCACACAGAGAGTGGAAAATCCCTCTGCCTAGAGCGGCTGTCAATGCCTCATTTACTGGAGAATGCTCGACTCTCTCTTGAACACGTCCTCCATGTTATATCCCTCTCTAAACATCCTCTACTTTAAACACAAATCCTCCCTTTTAAGAAAAGCTGTTATCTCTCTCCATCACTATATACAGGAATAGACACGCTGTACCTGAGAGTGCAGGTGGCCTCAGCGCCAGCAGAGGGAGCTCCGCTGTTAAACACACTGCACATCTTCACAGTGGATCACAGGGTTGTGACTTGCTGAATTGCTTACCAATTACCAATTATTAAATGCTTAATAAATACTGCAATACACATGCAGTAAGAGAAGTACAGCAACTATGATGAATCAACAGGATGATTATTAAAGGGAGAGTTCACCCATAAATGAAAAATGCCATCATTTACTCACCTTTCAAACCTTAATGAGTTTCCTTTTTCTGTTAAACACTTAAGATAGTTAGAGGAAAGCTGACACCTGAACAAATCAACATTTATAATGAAAACAAATACTATAGAAGTCAACGGCTGCTGGATTCCTCAAGATAAAAATCTGCTTTCGTGTTCAGCTGAAGACAGAAAGTTCAGGGTGAGTGAATGATGACTATTTTTTATTTTGGGTGAACTGTCCCTTTAAGAATCGTCCATAATCAAGTTACACGTTCAATTCTTGTCCAAAAGTGTGCTTAACTTTACTACACGTCAACTGTAGCACTTGTGGCACTCATGCTGAACTGTATTTGCAGTTTACTGACGTCAGATTGTATAAATGGCCAATATTTATGCATTTGCGTCATTTATTAGTTTTTTTTTTACTTCCTGTGTAGACATTCATGATTGCTTATCATCATTAAAATATTTCAATATTATTTCACAAGATGCAATTGTGTCATGCTAGCTAAAACCTGATAGAAGAAGCTCCACTGATTTTAGTTTCTCTCTGTTTACTGCACAGCTGCTGTTTCTGCATGGCTGAAAACAGCGTCTGACTGCAGAGTGAACCCACTACTGTTGAATTCAGCTATATTGACCAGCATTCCCATCAACCTGTTGCTTATGTTTCAGATCTTAATACTTACGTGCTGTTGATGATTTGAAACTTCTCTCCTTTCCTGAAACTGAGATCATCTTCAGTCCTGGCCTCATAATCATAGAGAGCTACAAACAGAGTCACACCTAAGAGAGGAGAGACAGGGAGAGAATTACGGTCTATACATATACTGAATTACAGCATGTATATTTATATATATATATATTAGGGGTGTAATGGATCAGAATTGTACAGATCAAAACCCACGGTTCAGAACACACGTGACCCGTGGATTAATAATTTTTTTTAAATACTTTGCTAAATTTGTACCGATCACAGAGAGATGGTCTCTCGCCTCATTCAGATCACATGTCTGAAAGCATTTAGGCGTTCCTGTAAAATATAACCTTTTGAGGCCCAAGCTGTTTTTTCATGCATTTTTTATTTCTCTTTGCTATTTGGGCTTATTGGAACCTAATTAGAATAAAAGCTGAGCATCCTTTTTTTGATATGATGTATTTTTAGAGATAAATGATGTTCATATATGTGGACTCGGGGTCCGAATTTACAGAAAACACAATCAAGTCACCTTTAAACTCTTTATTTCTGCCTTGAACACAGCAGATTTTTCCTGACTGTTTTTAATGCATTAATAACACATGCACACATATTTTTGAACATATTTTGACTATCAGAGAGTAAAAATAACTTTTTCCCCCTATTTTGGACAGTTAAAAATAGAGTTGGGGCATTTCATATTCTGCAAAACAGTTTCAGGATGACACTGTGTGTCTGTAACCAAACACAAGACATAAGAGCTCAAATGTGCTGTCCACGTATGTGGCCACTAAGCCCTAGGAGGATAATGATGACGGAAACAGATGTGCTGGGTTATTGAGGATGTGCTGGGTTTCTCAGGTTATTAAAGGTGTTTTCTGTCTTGTTTATCCTGCATTAATGCATTCAGTGTGAGCTGCACCATTAATCAGTGAAAGATCAGGATCTCAACACCCACGCAACATCAGTTATAAAAGATGCTGATATGCATGGTTATTAATCCTAAGAGATCGAGTCTTTAGTCTTTTAAATTAGTGATGAAGTTACACACAGTGCAATAACACAGCAGCACTGGGGGAACAGTGTCTAGTGCAGATACACCACTGATGCTTATAGTGAAGATTCAAATCTCCATCATCTGCATTTAACCCAAGTGTGCCGCAAGCCTGAGTTTGAGTGAAGGTCTCGGCCGTTAGATCGCCCCCTGGGGGCTGGCTGCAGTACAAGTCATAAAGCCCGCCTCCTCCGTGTTAACGAAGGAGACTTGAGCCCAAATAAAAAAAATTATTACACTTGCAATAAAATGTCCCGAAAGATGGTTCTGGTGGATTAAGGCACTGGTTATTGTGCTGAAATAGGTGCAGATCTTCATTTTTGTAAACAGTTTGTTTTTAGCAGTAATTTAATGCTGGGCGTGTCATCGTGATTGACAGCTGTGATTGACAGTTTCTCAAAGGAGACTTCGGCAGGAGACTGAAGTGTTATTATTCGATTTCTGTATTATTTTACCATGACAAAATGAGTTCAGCAGTAAACTACAGTTTCTGACATACATGATCCTGATGGAAACTGTTTATTCGCTAAGTTCAGGGCTTTTTTCGGGCTTTATTAGTTTGCTGATACACGCCTAACCATCCAGATAGCAAAATACACTCGGACCAGTTCAGTCTAGATTCTCGCCTGCCGGAGACTTACCCCTCAGACTGACTACCTCTGCTGGACCTACTCCGGATGTCTGGACTCACTGCCCGATTCCAGCCCGAGTCAATCGAGCCAGATGCTGCGGCCGAGCGAGCCGCCGCTGCCGCATGCGAGCCGGAATCAGCCCGCGACGCCGCGAGTAGGTTATGTGCTGCAGCCCGGAGCTGGCGCAATTGAATATATAAAACCCTCATATTTGTTAACGTTATTAAATCCATCTGTGTTGATATGACAGCAAACGCATGCTGTGCAGTTCGGGGGGCGTGGTTGATTTTACATAAAGCGTTTGGTTGGAAGCTCGACTCCGCTCATTTTCGCGGCTCCTCCTCTGGCTCCATCAGACAGTCCTTCTGCGCATGTCAAGGCTCCAATTTCAGCAGTCTTTTGCGACAGTTTGTGCCCGTCAAGCAGACGTTTTGCCCTCAAGGCGTTCAATGGGAAAAGGGGCTGTCGCGTCGTCCATATTTTTTACAGTCATTGATTTAACCATGCTCAAACATGAAAGTTGTATGCAGCAGTTGCATTATTTCACCAGTTGATGGCGACACCATCAGAAATACGCCACTGAATAATTCTTCAGAAATGATCATCTAGCAATGAAACATGAAGATTAACTAAGGTATCTAAGGAATTACTATTATTATTATTAGTAGTAGTAGTAGTAGTACTCCTCTTGGCTACTCAAGGCTCATGTGAGATTCAGCAACATGATCCCCTGAACACTGAAATGGGACACCACCAGTGCATTATAAGCAGCACTAAGAAAGAAAAAGGCATTTTGGTTCTGCAGAGGCTTCCAGACACATCAAATGACATTTAAGACCTGCAATTAGGCCCATTTTAAAAGTCAAGACTCATTCAGCTGAATCAAACCCAAAGACACAAAGATGAACATACTGATAAACAAAGCATCACGTCTGCTCTAAACGCATCTTAAGAGACGAGCTGCTGCTCTCCCTTAGGGAGGTTATAAACAAAACTATGCGGGATCATTTGTCCTGTCTGCCTCTGCAATGTCACGTTCACTTCCGTCATTTCCATTTCGCTGTTTGGCTCAAATGGGTCCCACAAGATTTGAGAAATTTGGTCATCGACCCAGAGTAACGGGACACAAGCTAACCAAACCCCTCATTAGATGCAACCCAAACCCAAAATCTGTCATAAAGCATATAATCAGTCAGACAGGAATGCAGATCAGTCATAGCACATTCAACTCACGGACATTTCAATAGAAAAGTTTAACATTTGATCAATCAGTTTATTGATTTAACCACTATTAAGAGCCTTTTGAGCAGTGGACGGGTCTGTGGAAATGTGGAAAACCAAAGATGTCAACAAGAATCTGAATCAATGAATTGAGTCCTTAAAGACGCACAATGATTTGCTCCTCAGATATTTCAGAATAAACCCTAAAATAAAAGCTCTGAATTTTATCCGAGACGTCAATCTTTGGTCTTCAGAGTTGCTTGTTGAACATATGCGGACATCGGGCAGCACAGTGGCTCAGTGGTCAGCACTGTGGCCTCACAGCAAGAAGGTCTCTGCTTTGAGTCTCGGCTGGGTCAGTTGGTGTTTCTGTGTGGAGTTTGCATGTTCTCCCCGTGTTGGTGTGGGTTTCCTCCGGGTGCTCCGGTTTCCCCCACAGTCCAAACACAAACGCTATAGGGGAACTGATCAACTTAATTGGCCATAGTGTATGAGTGTGTGAATAAGTGTGTATGGGTGTTTCCCAGTACTGGGTCGCAGCTGGAAGGGCATTCGCTATATAAAACATATGCTGGAATAGGTGGTGGTTCATTCCACTGTGGTGACCCCTGATGAATAAATCCAGCAGGCCCACAACATCATAAGACATTAATATTAGGTTAGATTTAGGTTGTGACGTCAGGTGACCAAAATTCAATGTCTAGCCAGCGTCTGAGGACAACGTTATTTTGACGTCCAATAACGACCGTTGATATTTGGTTGATTTCTGTTGGGTTCTGTTGGAAAGTGACCAAAATCCAACGTCGAGCCCTGATAAATAAGCCGAAGGAAAATTTATGAATGAATGTGCAGACGTCCATAGTGAGCATTAAGTGTGACACCCATAACTCACCCATAGCTCACCCATAGCTCACCCATAGCTCATCCATAACTCACCCAAAAAAATTGTTCAATATTATTTTATTCCATCCCCTTTATGATTTCAGTCATCTTCAGAGCACCAATGAAGAGATTTTAGATGAAATCGGAGAGCTCCCTCATCCTCTATAGACAGTCCTGAGATGTTCAAAGTTCAGAAACACACCAGGAATCATCCTCAAAACAGATCAGATATCTACAAGAATCCATTTGTGCTCTATATTGACACTGAGGAATAAAAGCCGTTGTTGTTGTCGTATGTGTGACAAAAGTATTCTGGTAGCTTGATAATATTCCCGTTGAAACACCGTGGACATGTTTATTTGGTATGTTTCTGGGATGTGGGACCACTGCTGTCTATGGAGGATGAGGGAGCTCTCCGATTTCATCTATAATGTCTTCACAGGGGAATTGGAGGGACATTATTAATAACATCATTTGAATTTTTGGTTGAAGTAAATATTTAATGATGCATGATTTACCTGTGCCCCCTCGTGTGCGGAGTGTTCCTTGGTGTGTGGATGTGCTGATCCCTCCGAAGACTGTCATGCCCTGCGAGACAGCGGCTCCGTGGAAGTTGTTGTAATTGGGAATGGCTGCGACAGCAGTTCCGGTCCCGCTGAAGGCTGGGTAGTGCTGCGGTGTTGGGTCGACGCCATATCGGTAACCCACTCCGCTCTGAGACAAGCTGGTGTCCCGGTCGTCTGTTAACTTAGCAGCCTCTTTGTCCTTACATTGCACACAGCCCATCCTCTATGATCTGAAAGACACACAGAAAAATTAAGAATACACTCATGTGCCAGCAAACCTCACACACACACACACACACACACACACACACACACACACACACACACACACATTAAAGAAACACTACCATTGTACAACTCCCTTAAGAGTTAAACTGTTGAAGTTAACATTTTTAGCTTAGCTTAGCATAAATTATTGAATCAGATTAGACCGTTAGCATTTTGCTCTTTTTACGACTCCCTTGGAGGTAAATGGTTTCATTTGTCAACCTATTTTTAATCAACTCAATTAATCTCCAGGTTTGGCAGGAGCACTTTTAGCTTAGCTTAGCATAAAGCATTGAATCTGATTAGACCATTAGCATTTTGCACTTTTTACGACTCCCTTAGAGTTAAAACTGTTGAATTTAACATTTTTTTTAAAATCAATTAAACAGTTTCATTTCACAACTTTTTCTTTAAAAATCAATTTAGCTGATCTTCCGGTTTGCCAGGAGCACTTTTAGCTTAGCTTAGCATAAAGCATTGAATTGGATTAGACCGTTAGCATTTTGCTCAAATTAGAATTTTGATAATCTTAGACAGAAGAAAATTAAAAGTTGATATTTTTTAGGTCATTATGGCTAGGAACTATACGCCTAGTCCAGTAATAATAATAAAAATGCCATATTTAAGCCATGATAAAGAAATGAGAGTGTAACTATATAATATAACCACAAGAGGTACAAAAACTGAAATTAAATGAAAAAGTAATAAAGGAAACAAACATGTAACAGGTAGCGTAATGTTTATGAAATGTGGATTGGGTGGGGGGTGATGGGTGGGGCAGAGGGCCAGGTTCACGGTGGCAGGTCAGATGTCCCGGTGCTCCCTACGGCCAGTTCACAACTGCTTTATAGGCTACTACAGGCCTTATTCTAACGCTGTATTCTAATTGGCTGATGATCGTTCTCAGTTAAAACTGTTCAAACATTTTTAGCTAAAGTATTTCCAGTAGCTGAAGTAGTAACAAGGCGTGTTTCTTAGAGAGTCCTTACTGTAGAAATTAAACAATCTAAAATATATTCAAACCTGAAATGATCATAGTGTCAATAAAGACTTCAAACATGAGTGAAAAGTGAGCAGGAATGACAGGTTTGAGCTGCAGCTCAGAGGAAGTCAACTCAACATCGACAATTAGAGAGAATAAATTAAGCCACTCTCTCTTTATGTCTGAGCAAACTCCTCTTGTTGGGCTCAGGAAATTCACTTTCTAAAGCACTACAGGCGCATGCAGAGAATAGGAAGAGCTGTGTGTGCGCGCGCGTGTGTGTGTGTGTGTGTGTGTGTGTGTGTGTGTGTGTGTGTGTGTGTGTGTGTGTGTGTGTGTGTGTGTGTCAGTGCAGGATTTTAAAGGGAGATCGGAAGTCGGCCACATGATCCATCAACAGCACAACAGCTGAACTGCCTGACGGACAATAAACTCCCAAGAGGAAACTCCCAGATCTCTTTTTCCCCGTCCAGTACATTTCCAAAGCACAGCACACAGAGAGAGATTTCTTTACTGGCGGCAGACTTAAACTTATTTTTACAAAACCTTAACAAAGTGTGTTTGCAGGGTTCAACGCTAAGGATTTTTTTCTACTGGTCTGATCGGGCCAGTGGTTCAGATTTTCACTTGCCCTGCCAAAATTTTCACTGGCTCCACAAATAAAAGAAAGGGAAGTTAATAGCTATTTTTTAGATCCATATTTTAAATAATGTGTCAAAAATAAAGTCTCTGAATTTAGAATTTTAATACTTAAAAAAAATTGTAAATAAAAGTGTTATGCAAACAAAAAGAGCAGTATGGAAAATGTGGAGGTATTTTATTGCGGTTTGAAATTATTTAACAAAGGGTGGCTGACTTGTCAAACTGACGGCAAACTGTGCAACTGTGTTTTTTTTTGTCACGTTGTTCACACGTAAATTTCTGCTTTCAAGACGCTAGAAACAGATATTTTCTTTTAACCTTAGAATTTGATGTTGCCATTTCTTCGCTGTACTGGTTGTTACCAGGTTATGGAAAAAATAGAATTCTCAATCAGATAAGAGGAACTGGAAAGCAATACAGTGTTTACGACATCACAGAGAAGGTAGTGTTCAAAGACTTAAAAGCAAGAACTTAAAATGCAAGCAATTGATAAATAGTCACAGACAAACTAAATGTTAGTGACAAGGCAGCACTGTCCCAATCGGGCCAGTAATGATCCGGTCTACTGTCCCAAGTGTCTGTCACCCTGGCCCTGGGCCACCAGGCAGTCCTTATTGTTGAGCCCTGGTTTGTCTTTAAAATAAGGCTTGCTTTTATTGGATTATTGATCGTAACACAAATAGTGTCAAACTGTTCTGTGGCCACTGTATATACTAACGCTGGCAGTATAGTGAGCTCACCGAGTAATAAACAAGGTCAACCACATCTGTTTATATATTCAAGTAAGATAAAATATGCTTTTATTTAGGAGGAAAAAAACAAGGAAACAAAGAGAGTAACTAGAGCGCTGCAGAATATACATTACATCTCATTTCTGTCAATTATTAATTGACCTTAGTTTGTTTTTTAGTGTCTGTGTTTAGTTTCATAAGGTTTAGTTTTTCTCATTAATTGTGAATTTAGCATTTTATTTCATTCACTCATTCTAACAATGTTTTGTGTTCAATTAGCCATGTAATAAGCAGGATAACGTACATCCAGGTTGTTGTGGTACAGGTGAATTGGGTAGGCTAATTTTTCTGTAGTGAATGAGTGTGTGTGAATGTGTGTGTGGATGTTTCCCAGAGATGGGTTGCAGCTGGAAGGGCATCCGCTGCGTAAAAACTTGCTGGATAAGTTGGTGGTTCATTCCACTGTGGCAACCCCGGATTAATAAAGGGACTAAGCCGACAAGAAAATGAATGAATGAATGAATGAATAAATGAATGAATGAATGAATGAGCTCTTCAGTCTTATACAGAAGTGTTCTGCTTTACATCAGCCTGCCAATGAGCTTTAATCTGCCATAACAACCTCCTAGATCACAGGTGTCAAACTCAGTTCCTGGAGGGCCGCAGCTCTGCACAGTTTAGTTCCAACCCTAATTAAACACACCTGATCAAACTAATTGAGTCCTTCAGGCTTGTTTGAAACCTACAGGTAAGTGTGTTGGAGCAGGGTTGGAACTAAACTGTGCAGAGCTGCGGCCCTCCAGGAATTGAGTTTGACACCTGTCCTAGATGGACGTTACCCCTAACTTATTGAATATCAGATATGTCTAAAAGCCACGTCCAAATACAAATTGGGGTGTAGGAATGACTTCAGTTCTGAATTATGCTTCTGGCCACACTCCGTCACTTTTAATACTCGTGCCAAAAGTGAGAACACGAGGATCTCCATGTTCCCAGCTGCTCATCTTCAATGAGAAATAGCACAGGAGAATCCTCCGAGTGCATGTTGTGCATTATGATGAGAACACAGAGCACCAGCGGATCCCCCTGGCCTGTTTTTCTCTGGCTTACTTATTCCCTCTCCATTACTCCGGGCTTTTCAGTGAGACGAGCCCCCGCTGTGTGTCAGACAGCAGACGAGCTCTGCCAGTGGACTACACATACACACCAACACCGGCGAGAATGTCTCCTGTCGTCTCGCTTTTCCGCTCATCCTCAAAGCTGTCCTTCCTGAGCTTTTATATCTGCCATGCAGGATCTGTTTTCTTTCTTGCCCTTAAGCAGAAGCGCCTGCAGCCGGTGAGCGTGTTAACCCGGGTTCAGCCCACATCCTCTCATTTCCAGCTCAAGAATTCCCATTAACATCACAACAGCAGCTCTCTGCAAACACCACTGCAAACGCACAGCTCTGCGCAGCCTTTACTGAAGCCAAGCCAAGAGAATAAACCCGAGCTCATTAACAAAACCGTGACTGTAGCCACACATACAGCGCAGGCTCACTGGAGATATGTGCCTACATTTTGAGTGTGTCCTTGCTGCAGCCTGATGAATGCATGCACGAGCGGTTATTACTAGACACAAGAATTATTTATATTAATGACTAAATTACCTGTTACATTGTGTGTTATTAGCGTCTACAGTTACCGTTATATCTACCCTTGCAGTTATTAATCTATCTCAACTCTAAACACAAACCTGCAGCAGAAATGGAGACTCAGAGCAGCAACGTTTCTCCAATCTTCTATTGTCCAGGTTTGGTGAGTCTGTGTGAATTGTAGCCTCAGTTTCCTGTTCTTAGCTGACAGGAGTGGCACCCGGTGTGCTCTTCTGCTGCTGTAGCCCATCCGCCTCAAGGTTGGACGTGTTGTGTGTTCAGAGATGCTCTTCTGCAGAGCTCGGTTGTAGCGAATGCTTATTTGAGTCACTTTCAAAGTCCCTTAAATCCCCTTTCTTCCCCATTCTGATGCTTGCTTTGACCTGCAGCAGATCGTCTTGACCATGTCTACATGCCTAAATGCAGTAAGCTGTGATTGACTGATTAGAAATTTCAGTTAACGAGCAGTTGGACAGGTGTACCTAATAAAGTGGCCAGTGAGTGTATATGGTTTGTTCTAAACAGGACTATTCGATGTTATCACCTATTACACCTGTTCATTTTAAAAATGTCTCACTAAAATGTTTACAAACTCGTAAAACTGATCTGAGATCAGGTCAAAACTGAAACCTGTTTAGCACGCCACCACTGGGCAGGATGATCTAAGCCAGTGTTTCTCAACCACGCTCCTGAAGGACCACCAGCGCTGCATGTTTTGGATGTCTCCTTTGTCGGTCACACCCATCGCAGGTCATTCAATCTTTGCTAATGAGCTGGTGATCAGGTGTGTTTGGTTAAGGAGACAAATGTGCAAGGCTGGTGGTCCTCCAGGAACGTGGTTGAGAAACACTGATCTAAACAAAGCTGCGTGATTTATGTGGACTCAATGATGCTACACAGATCTCTCTAAAGTGGTGAACCTTTATATTTTTAAAACAGTTTGAAACCGTTCAGACACGGCAGTGAAAGTGTGAA